AAAATCCTTGCTAGAGGAGGGAGTAACTGTTACATGCTCGGACACCAAGGTTCCACACACTGTTAAAGGGGTTAGCATAGTTCTTTAAGTAGACTAGAATTGAAGATAAATTAGTGAAATGAGTTATTGATATTCCACCGGTTTTCACACCATTTAAGGAACTTTATCACTGCATTAGAACAGACCACCCAAAGGTACTGAAGTAGGAACCATAAGTGATGAAATTCTCCAATTGTTGTAACTGACCAAAATCTTCTCCCAGAAATGACTGTCTGAAATGCCGTATCCCAGAGTAGATGTTTGATGGTATCATGGAACTAAAACCTTGTACGCTGTCTTGCCACAGGATTGGACTGGGACCTGTGCACTTGTACAGGCAGTGATGTTTTATATGCAGTACCAATGACAGTGGGGCAGTTAATCAACATGGCGAAACACCCCAAAACCAGTAGGGCTAAGAGACCAGTCAAAGGAGGGAGTTTAGGCTCCACAGTGTACAAGGATAGCATAGGGGTGCCCAGGGGAGTGCTAGATGTTGGAGTTGCATTCCATGTACCCGCACCCTAACGTACCGATTGATCACCACGGCCTTTTCTAGAGAACATATTACTTTCATACTTTAAAAAGTATGAAAGGGGGGAGGGTACATTTCTCATAAGGGAACAGTTTCAATTGCTAGCAGAACAAGACGACTCAACCCATATACAGATATTTATGAAAATGATGACAGTGTGTAAATGATGTTAAATGATATGGATGATAAATGATGAGATTGTTCAAAGAATGTCCAAATGATGTGATATTTCAAATGATGAAATCATTAGAATGAAGAACCAGCTACAAAGTGGTATTACTTTGCACTATTAAAAAAAAAAGGTTTCTAACTTTTATGTTTTATACTGTTATTAGTGATGCGATTTTTAAATAGTATGTTTTTATACTTTGTAAAACAAGTGCCTTAACACTGAATGTGGTATGGGAACGGTTTCTGTGAAAGGAGGGAGTAAGAAATGTTCTAATACCACAAGTTGCTGCTATTTTAAAAAGTGATATTGAATGTTAAAACTAAAAGTTATGCACAAGGGAAAACTTTTACACCAGAAGACCAACCAATGTATTGTTTGTATTTTTGATGACGGTTATTTGAACCATTCCATTTTGATAGTATGTTTTTTGATATGAGTTATGTACTATGCAAAGTTCAGATGAAGAACTCATTGATTTCAGTATTGTGTTCACACCTTAAAAGGTGTGATAGGAGGGATTGTTAGAAATTAAAATCAATGTTTTATGGCATGATTTAGTCTAAAACATACCGTCAGTTTAAAAGCAGTCAGATGAAGAACTCATTACTTTTAGTATTGTGTTCACACCTTAAAAGGTGTGAAAGGAGGGATTGTTAGAAATTAAAATCAATGTTAAACAGCATAATTCAGTCTAAAATATATCGTCAGTTTAAAGCTGTTTTATTGTGGAAAAAACCCGGAAGTTCTCAGGAAATCAATGCCAAGCTTTTATTCTGAAAATCCTTTATCCGGTTAGCATGTGACTAAATATTACGTTTTCTGAATGTAAAGTGAAAATGACTTGGAGTGTTACACACCAAATCGTACGGACTTTAACACTACATCGATAGACGTTAAGATATTATTACTGCTGAATATTAAATGAAGGAACAGTTGATCATGGAGTGTTTACACATTACGTGAGTAGCTATGACGTCAGAGGGATCTACCGTAAATGAGAACTGTGTCGTAAAAGTGTTTCTAGGACTTCTAAACTAACGATTACATCTGTTTATAAGGTATTAAATAGAAAGTCATGACAGAGATAAGGAGGAGAGAATGCTTAAGGAAATAGGCAGAGAATACCAATGTCGAAATCATCTGTGCTCTCGCGATATCGAACCCACAAGATGAGAAGGGCGGTCCCACTATCTTCACAGCGGGGGACAACGAGACGTGGATAAAAATACAGGACGGAAGATAACTCAGTCCCTTTCCTTCGCTGCAGCCTCCCTGAAGACAACACCGGCTTTGTCTCTCCATTATCCATGCTTGTTCTTTAACCACGTTACTTAATTAAACTACCCATTTGAACCTTTTCAGAGACTCCATTAGTCTTGTTATTTTAAGTTTCTTTCCTGGGAGCGAGAAGATCACGATTTATCAACAGTTTCAATTGCTAGAACACATGGGGCTCATTTTCTCAAAAAAAATGTGTGTGTGTGTGTGTGTGTGTGTGTGTGTGTGTGTGTGTGTGTGTGTGTGTGTGTGTGTGTGTGTGTGTGTGTGTGTGTGTGTGTGATGCATCTCGCCTCCTAGCTGGGTCTGACCACAGCACCTCTTAACCTCTTCCCCTTTTCATGACCCTGGTGTCATGAAAACAGGAAACCAACAGTTTCTGTAATCTGTAAACCATCAGCATCTTCGTCATCAGTTCCTCAGAAAAGCAGCTCAGAGAAGTTAGAGACAGTATTATATAAACTTTAATATCATCTGTAATGGACGCGTTCAACACAGACAGGGACAGAGAGACTCAGAATGTCCTCAACATGTCCTCTTTCTGCTTCTATAGAACTGAACCACTGAGCAAACTGAAGACCTGGCCGACAGATGACCCTGATCATGTGACAGATAACCCTGATCATGTGACAGATGACCCTGATCATGTGACAGAGACTCTCTCTGTAGAGGCCTTCACACACCGGGGAGATTTGTCCAAAACAAGGTTCGCTGAGACTTCAGCTAAAGGCAACAACACGTCACATTGACTCTATTTTACAGTTTGTTTCAATTGCTAGAACACATGTTTTTACAACAGGGCTCATTTTCTCAAAACACTAAAACACAATTCTCAAAGCACAGACCCAAAGGTCACCTCATATATCATCCTGCAGAATGAAGCCCTGCACCCAGAACCACAGAAACACTAACTTCTGCCCCAGATGGCGCACACCTCACTGACAGGACAAGACTCTGTGTGCGACTTTTTAAAACAAAAAACCAGAGGAGAGAAAAGTGCTGAGGATGCATCTCGCCTCCTAGCTGGGTCTGACCACAGCACCTCTTCCACATCACAAGCACTATCTTCCCTGGCTAAACATGGAGGGAAGACGCGTCTTGAGTGTCGTATCCGTCCCTGGATAGCACTCACATGTCATCACATGCCTCTTCCATGGCCTCCTAAAGAGTGAAGCTCGTATGGCTGACGGTCGAACACCTTCCACCGCCATGCCGAACAGAACTCTTCTATCGGATTCAGGAATGTTGAGTAGGGTGGAAGGTACAGAAGCAGAACTTGTGGGTGGTCAACGAACCAGTTTTGGATGGTGGCTGCTGGATGAAAGCTGACATTGTCCCAAACAATTACGTATCTGAGTTGCAAACGTATATACCCT